CAGCCTTTTTGTTTGGATTACCAACAACTTTTGGCAGCTTGTTGTAATTAGGGGCCAGATCTTTGAACCTTGACGGATTTACGTAGCTTATCCTAGATATGGTATTTTCCGTATACCGTATATCCGGTAACTTGCCCCTTGTTTTAATGACGTCATACTTGTCCGGGTGTTTGCACGTGAAGTTAACATATTCTGAAATATAATCCTGTGATATTTAATGGTACAGATTGAATTGGAAATGCATTCCGCAAAGCAAACGCCAGTTAGAAAGGCATATACAAGCGAAACTGTTAAAGGCACTCCACTGAGGTTTTTTGACAGGACGGGACTGAGATTTTTGTACCATTTGATCTAGGTCTGGCCAAGAAACTTTGGGCAAATTTTCAGATCATTCCTTCACCCTGTTTTTCAAGAATAATATTTTTTATAGTGCAGAATGACCCTAAAATGAAAAGCGTTGCAACGCCTTTCACTCAAATCGGGCTAAGAACAGCAACAAAACTCGATATTCAATTAAGTTTGAGTATGTTTCTGTATTATTCTTTTCTATGGTGGCTGATTTGGAACGCTTTTGTGCGTCGTGTTGGCGCTTGCGACAACAGGACAAAGCGTCAAACGGCGCGTTGTCGAACTTTCGTTTTGTCGTCCTGTCGCTAACGATGTACGCCAAACGGCACGCTGTCGTGCGGTGTGTTGTCGCGATGTCACATTGTTGCTCGGTTCAAACCGAAGGATTGGCTTATAAGCCAAGCGACAGGGCGACAACGCGTCGCACGAAAGCGCGCCGTTTGACGTGCTTCGCTAGAGACAGGACAACAGTGAGACAACGCGCCGTTTGGCGCTTTGTCCTGTTGTCGCTAGCGTCAAGACGAGTAGGCGATAACGATATAAGTTGCGTTGTCGCTATCGACAACGTAACGCACAATGTACCAAATCAGCCACCATACTTTTCAGAGTTTTCCAACTTAAGTGTTTCAATTGATCTATGTAAAAAATATATTATTTCTTTAGGCTCTTTGACCTCATTGGAGCTCCTTTAAAGAATTCATGCACATTACACTTTTTCGTGCTTGTGAAGATTATGGACTAGGTTGTATGCAAACCACCCATATCTTAAAATGACAAACCAAATACCGGTAGATATAAAAACGTTAGATAAAGATCAACATACTTATATTTCAAGTATGTTTCCAACAAAAACTGTCAATAATTTTTTTCGTGATGAGAGTCTAACTTGCGAACCGTATCAGAATATGGACTAAAGCAGCATATGGACGACATCAGCATATGGACTAAAGCAGCATATCGACGACATAAGCATATGAACTACATCAGCATATAGACTAAAGCAGCATATGGACGACATCATCGTAGGAATCCAAGCAGCATATGGACGACATGAGCATATAGACTAAAGCAGCATATGGACGACATCAGCTTATGGGCGACATAAGCATATGAACTACATCAGCTAATGAACCACATCGACATATGAACTACATCCACATATGGACGACATCAGCTTTTGAACTTCATCAGCATATAAACTATGTCAAGATACGGACAACCAGAGACATACATAATGTCTCTGGGACAACATTAGCATAAAGACGACATCTGGATATAAACTACAACAGTATGAGGACGACATCAACTAATGCTGTCCGTATTTTGACATAGTTCATATGGTAACGTAGTTCAAAAGTTAATTGTCATAGTTCATATGCTGACGTAGTTCAAAAGCTAATTGTCATAGTTCATATGCTGACGTAGTTCAAAAGCTTATTGTCATAGTTCATATGCTGACGTAGTTCAAAAGCTAATTGTCATAGTTCATATGCTGACGTAGTGCAAAAGCTTATTGTCATAGTTCATATGCTGACGTAGTTCAAAAGATAATTGTCATAGTTCATATGCTGACGTAGTTCAAAAGCTTATTGTCAAAGATCATATGCTGACGTAGTTCAAAAGCTTATTGTCATAGTTCATATGCTGACGTAGTGCAAAAGCTAATTGTCATAGTCCATATGCTGACGTAGTTCAAAAGCTAATTGTCATAGTTCATATGCTGACGTAGTGCAAAAGCTAATTGTCATAGTTCATATGCTGACGTACTTCTAAAGTTAATTGTCATAGTTCATATGCTGACGTAGTTCAAAAGCTTATTGACATAGTTCATATGCTAACGTAGTTCAAAAGCTAATTGTCATAGTTCATATGCTAACGTAGTTCAAAAGCTAATTGACATAGTTCATATGCTAACGTAGTTCAAAAGCTAATTGACATAGTTCATATGCTAACGTAGTTCAAAAGCTAATTGTCATAGTTCATATGCTAACGTAGTTCAAAAGCTTATTGTCATAGATCATATGCTAACGTAGTTCAAAAGCTGAATGACATACATACAATAACCTCTCTATTACACCAACAGTATTATCAATTTTTATCAATTCCTCCAACAGAAATATTTCGTAACAAAATGTCCCCTCTCTTAAAGGCCCATTTTTCCTCAAAATTTCTATTTCTCAAAAACTTGCTTCCTTTACGACACAATACTGCACATTCAGGACAACTTTCATCAGTTGTTAAACATCTTATATGCTGTAAACCTATTTTCAAAAACATTATTAAACACAAGTTTGATATTTCTAAAGAATTAAAAACAATATGGATTTCTGAGGCATACTGTACCTTCGACCTTTGACCCCAAAACAGAGGTTGTATCTTGATTTTTAAAGCAGCACGCCTCCAGATTCCTGCTTATGTTCATGAAAATTTTGAAAATGTATTCAAAAGTAAAATATTGTTAAGCTAACAGAGAAAATAATATGCACATTTCAAACGGCACTTAAAATCAATGTAAATTACCAAAAAAGATGTCAAAATACGCAAAATTAACCCTTACTGCGTGAACTAACGCAGTAGAAATATGGTGAAAATTTATGAAAAATTGGCCATCAATCACAAATAACATGGAAATTATTACTTTTATCTTTAGTATTTTTACGTTTCATAAAACCTCAATACATTTTTCTCAAGTCTTATTTTCTTGAAATATTTTGGCTCATCTGGAGGCATGCAGCTTTAAAAAAAATATAAATTTCACTTACTGGTATGCTTCATCATATCGGGGTACCTCTGTGCTTTTCGCGCAAAATTTGGGTTCCATATCAAAAATGTCTACAAAATTCATACAGAAACAGTGTTATACATAAGGCATAAAATAAAATGAGCCGCGTCACGACAAAACAAACATAGTGCGTTTGCGACCAGCATGGATCCAGACCAGCCTGCGCATCCGCGCAGTCTGATCAGGATCCTTGCTGTTCGCTTACCAACCATATTACTAGTAGAGAAACTTATAGCGAACAGCATGGATCCTGATCAGACTGCGCGGATGCGCAGGCTGGTCTGGATCCATGCTGGTCACAAACGCACTATGTTGCTTTTGTCGTGACACGGCTCAAATGTTGTTTGTGTCTCCTCTCGCTTCCTACCTATTTACAAAAAAAAAATAATAAAAATAAAAAAGTACAAAAAAATATGGAAAAAGAATCACATCAAACTGGGGTATAATATATGTATGTTGAATAAAACTTTAAAAAAATATTATTCTAAACTTTAAACTGACTTCACAATAAGTTTTGAATTCGCTATAACTGTGAAATTGGAAAAAAACATAGTTTGGATAAGAAAAAAATGTTTTATCTACATGCCAACCCTACCCAAACTGGCATCATGTATGGGTTGCGGGAAGGGAAACAAAGATAATTTTAAGACTGACCTTATATTACACTAAGTTAAAACTACATACATTATAAAACTTTTATGATTCAAACATTCATAATTTAAAGCAGCATGCCCCCAGTTTCGTGCTAATTATTACGAAAAAAATCAATAGAAAAGTCATTCGGAACATCCTCGGCTATTATCTATAATCCGAAAACTGACGGAAACGGCCGAAAATTTCCGATTGTAGAATGCGTTCGCGACCAGCATGGATCCAGACCAGCCTGCGCATCCGCGCAGTCTGATCAGGATCCATGCTGTTCGCTATTAGTTTCTCTACTTGTAACATGGTTTGTATGCGAACAGCATAGATCCTGATTAGACTGCACGAATGCGCAGGCTGGTCTGAATCTATGCTGGTCGCAAACGTATTTAATTATGTTGGTTTTGTCATGGCGCGGCTCATATAGTGATAAATACTGTGAATTCAGTCATTCATTGCATGTAACATGTAAATTACTATTGACATACACATTTTATTTATTTATTTTTTCACTTTTCATAAAACCTAAGTATATATTTTTTTCCTTTAAGGCCCATCCATAATGCTTCAGAAATTGTATGACTTATTTTCCGAAAACTTTTTATTTTTGAAACCTTTACAGTTTCAAAATCATATTCATTTGCCATTTAAATGTACACTGTACTATCATTTGCTTTTCTGGTCTGCTGGCAATCTGAACTGATATTTTGTATGGAAGTTAAAATGCTACTTTGATTTTGCTTACTTTACCGCACTTAATTGCACATTCAAATGCATTTTCTGAAATGTGATACTGTAATTTACAGATCGAGCAGCAACTATGATCTCATTTAAATGTTCCATTTTTAAAAGATATGTACTGTTCACAGTTTGTAAATTTGTATATATATAATAAGGTGACTTATAGGTCCAACGGGCCGGGTGTTTTTTGTATGTATTCTTGTAATGTATGTGAAATGATAAATGCACAATGTCACTATAATAAACAATTTACTTACTTACTTACATTCAACGCTACTGTCTTTAGTTGTTTAACATTTAATATACTCTAGTGTTTCAACATTACTAAACACACTGTTATGTTTGACCTTTCCAAAGATTAAAATAAAAATGGATTGCCTATGCATAAAATTTGCATTTTGCATTTAATGTTTTTCTTTTATGGAAGTTAAAATTCTACTTACATTCTTTTATATCTGAAGGTATGCTGCTTATATAGTACTGTTAATTTCATATTTAAATTGATGAACACAGGGAAAAATTGTAATTGAAAGAAATTGGAAGAAATTCTAATTGGAGGAAATTGTAATTGGAAGAATTCAGAACAACATATCTTTGACAATAATTTATGAAAATAAACATGCTGTCGAACAAATGTTATAAAGTGGATAATAATAATAATAATAATAATAATAATAATAATAATAATAATAATAATAATAATAACAACAACAACAACAACAACAACAACAACAACAACAATAACAATAACAATAATAATAATAATTCTAATAATGATAATGATAATGGTAATGATGATGATGATGATTATGATGATTATGATGATGATAATATAATAATAATAATAATAATAATAATAATAATAATAATAATGATAATGGTAATGGTAATGATGATGATGATGATGATGATGATGATGATGATGATGATGATGATGATAACATGCATTGTTTCTTTATTTGAAATTGAGAATTTTATAATGAACTGATAAATGATCATTGCGGAAACAATTACTTTAATTAATTAATTAATTAAAAGAAGATATAAATTTGTATATAGACGTAAATGTGACTTACCGACGCACTGGGTATTGACTGATGGTTCAAGCCGGCAGGGTGCGGGTTACCACAGCGTGTAGGGGACAATAATCGTCGACTTTTAGCGTAGATATTGTGCATGCTTCGGTAATCTAGAAGTGTGATCGTTCTCGGAAAATGATTCTTCCGCGTGTATACGTTCGTCATTCTAAAAGATCACCTGTAAACACACCTCTCCTGTAATTTCGAATTAAATATACCACAAAAGCAACGGACGATTCCAGAAATATAATAAACAGTGCTACGCCAAAGAGATTATTAACTGACGATGTTTCTAAGATGTTTCTAAGAAACGACGTTTTTTATTTTGAACAACGTCACGTTTATTACGTCATTAACGTAATAGTCTTAAACCTATTTGGGCATCCCAGTATGTCATGTCAGTCAAGACAAGTCAATTTTTATTTAGTAATCTTAATGTGAATGGGCATGTTCACAAATTCTAAAATAACAAACAATCCCATTCACCTGGGGAAAATACATGCGGGCTTTATATATAGCCATATCTTGCCAAGTGTGCATCCATTTCGCTCGATTGAACCAAGTGTGGAACCATTTCGCTTGATTGAACCAAGTGTGCAACCACTTCGCTTCATTGAACCAAGTGCGCAATGTCAACGCCCTGCACCTTGAATAGGCCTAGTTATAGAAAAACATATTTTACTGACGATTTTGTAATTTTCCTTCATTTAATTAAAAGGTCAGTAATGATGGATTTGCACATTGAACCTAACTATACCAGAATTTATCGATAATCTAAAATGTTTATTTACTAGATGTATCTTGAGTGTAGTACAAATTTAGAAACATTATTTCATTTACTTTAATTTTATAATAATTCATTATCATATAATTGATAATTTTAATATTACATTAAGCTTTTACATGTAGCTAGCTTAGTGCATGCAATTTCCTTTGATGTTTTTGTTTGTTTTATGTGCTACCTTAATTAAGTTCATTTACATCTTTTAATAATTTTTTAATAATGTATATATACTGTAGATGTAAACTTTTACTAATTTAATGTTTTATTCTCACTTTACTGCATGTACATGTATTATATTATAAATAAATTTTATATATTCTTCTCAAATCTTATTACTTTTATTCATGCCTAAGATACTAGCATTAAATGTATTTTACTTTTCAGATTTGTTACGTGTAAGTTAATATGTTTTATGTCTATATTATTGTCGGTAATTAGCTTATTAGCTAATATTTCTTGAAATTTGCTTCTTATATGCTGTAACTGTCAATCCTAGGGTAACATAAAACATAAGTACTACTTAATTTTATAATTATTTTTATCACACACCCGTGCCGATTTTGCGACTCCGTAAATATATTACTGAATTTATTGCACTCGTTGAATAAAATAATATTATGCTCGCCAGAGGCTCCCATAATATAATTTTATTCAACTCGTGCAATAAATTGCACTCGTTGAATAAAATAATATTATGCTCGCCAGAGGCTCCCATAATATAATTTTATTCAACTCGTGCAATAAATTCAATATTGAACTTAAACTCATTCAATATCCTCTATTTATCACACACCCGTGCCGATTTTGCGACTCCGTAAATATGGTATTGCACGGCCGTGCATATATTTTGACGTGACGTCATTAGCGTTATACAAACATAGTGTAAAAACGCGCTAAATGTTAGCGTTATACTATAGACGCGTCAATGAAAAATGACTTTTACTTCACTTTTAACGGTCTTTATTTTGGGTATGTGATAAATAGAATATTAAATTCGTGTAAGTTCATTACTGAATTTATTGCACTCGTTGAATAAAATAATATTATGCTCGCCAGAGGCTCGCATAATATAATTTTATTCAACTCGTGCAATAAATTCAGTATTGAACTTACACTCATTCAATATCCTCTATTTATTACATTTTGTGTGTGTTTTATATGCATATAATGATATATATGAAATATTGTATGTGTTGATGTATATTTTCCTGAATAAATCAATACGAATGATGTTATGTACTTCATTAGGTAACGGATTTAAATCCGTGATTTGGTGTAATCATTCCACAGAGCTCAATCCGTAATGTACCGGAAAACGGCGTTTAGCTACACCTTTTGACATTTGGCGGGAAATTTAATGGCGGCCAATACATCGATAATTTTTAATGTTATTTCCTATTTAATCAGAACTGCTTTTAAGCGGTATTATCTTTGTAAATAATTGATTAAGCTCTATTTTCATTTGATAACTATAGATCTAGATCTACATTAATTTATTTTTCTGCGATATTGCTGAAAAACTAATCTATGATTTAGGGTCAAGTTTAACTGGACTTCTGCAAAAAATCTTATCTTGAATAAGTAGTCTAGAAGATGGCGAAGAAAGAATCTGGTATACAGGTAAGATAATTTATATATGAAATCATCGTGCAGCAGTATTTAAAAAGAAACTGATGTCGATTTTACTTACCTTGATTTTTTTTTCATGTTCGTACCCATGTTGTTTCGTATCATTCCCGTTTCGCACCACGATCTTTGAACAAGGTCTTTGAAAATATAAACATTTCTACTATTTATCACTCTTTTGTTTCGTAGTTTGATAACTATATTTACTGGTCGGAGACCATCAACCGGACACTTTTGGAATACTTTTCTGTACAGATTTCATAATTTTTAACATAGAGACCAAAAAATTTGACACAGTTCAGCTAGGTTCTTCTCTTAACTAACAAACTAGTTTGTTTATTTCTGATTGTATTGACACTTATTTCTGAGGCTCGATAAGGAGGGTATCAAAATTACCTAAAATTGTCTACACTACAGTACCATGTGTCCGGACAGATATCAGTGTTAGCGATTTTCCCTAACTTTACTGAGTACCTGGGACTCAGTGCTAAGGCCTAAAAAAAAAAAATTGTTTTGTTAGGGTAACATGCTCTCAAGGAATAGGTAGGGTAGGTCGGATTTTTTTTTTTTTTTTTTTTTTTTTTTTTTTTGAAATTTAGATATGGAAATTTCTGACATCCCTCCCGGGTGGCACAAATACATCCCTTCTATGTTTTCAAAAGACATTTCAGGTGTAACAATCTTAAACTCTCAGCGTTCTTCTGGTGAAGATCACACGCCGTTTTACAAATATTGACGATGTGATCTGCCATTTTGTAACTAAGAGCGGCGTTAAAACCTGTGCCGTACCCAGGGCTCATCCTGGGGGGAAATTTTAGGGAGAAGTGACTTCCTCGTGAAAAATCGGCAGAAGGGAAACATCCCAATGTTTATGCATTAACATGCATGGCTATACAGAATAGAAACACAATCTATTTATCAGCTATTTATAAGCTTTCTCATATATTTTTGATAATAATGTGTAAGAAAACTATGATGAATAAATTAACTTTATATTTTTACTTTCCAGATAAAGTTACATTGGATAATGATTAATAAAATCTGTATATCCTGCTCTGTTTACAGAAATTTCTTTTATGATCTTCTATGTTGTATCGTCATATTTATGTGCATATAATTATGCTTATAAAACAATTTTCAAATATCAAAGAATATGTAAAATATGTACTGCAAACATTTGTGCACATTATATTTGATCACTAAAATTATATACATTCATTTCTTATTGAAAAATTCGACTGAGAAATTATAGAAAATAAATTTCTAATTACCTCCCTTTATTTTCATGAAATGTTAAACTCGGTAATATCTCTATAAATAATGCTTTTTGAAATTTACAATATTAATAAATCTTAATCTGAGCGTCATATTTATGACATTAAAACAAATATGTATATATTGAAACAATAAGAACACTTCTTTCCTGACAAATTTTGTTGTTATATACATGAGCACATGATATACGACCGATATGTCGCATGCCGATCATGATTCGTAGTTTTAGGATGTCGTGCCCACGTGCGTACAAGCTGTGTCAAATTTGGCATTTCTACAAAGATAACAATGCAAAACACTCTCACTGTCTACAACATACCAATCATAAGATTTTTGCGAATTGACTAACAGTTTTGTGATAGCCGTGAAAAACCCATTGGACATATTAAACTCGCAAAATATACCCTAGTCAAAATATTTTAACCTACGGGATTTTTAGATAATTTTTGACATGGTCAAAATCCCAAAGAGCGCAGGGCGTAGCTCTGATCGCGTTGATATTTCGACTAAATATACCCGTTTCGGGCCGATGCTCTCATTATTTATTGTTTAGAGTAGGCGGTCTATCGCTTTGCATACAGGTAGAGGGGTAGTATATAGCGATGCTCTGATTGGATAATGATAATTAGCAGTCGTCATATGGGCGGATACAATCTCTGCTCTTTACATCGGCAAGTAATTACTCTTTGGGAATTAAGATTTTATCGGCGATGTTGACTTCTCTTTGATCAATTGGGAGAGCGAAATGGAAATATACACGGCGAAATTTTCGCCTGAATTGCCCTTCACACTGCTCATTGAGTACCTCAATAATACGGTATTTTCATGGATTTTTTTTTTTTTTTTTTTGGACATGAAAAAAACGGTAGGGTCGGCGCATATTATTAGGTAGGGTCGGGTGACCCGAACAGAACAATTTTTTTTTTTAGGCCTAATAGATCTGTTACGTCCCAATTCAAATGGAACGAGTCCTCAATTACAAAAATGTCAATGTTTGCATAACTTCATAATACAATCAAATTTGTGACTGTTGATGTTCGCGGATACCATTGATAGGTTGGCCCAAAACGAGGCCGAGCACTTGCTCCTAGTCTACGTTTGGGATATAAATCTGCATTGCTAATGAGAAAGGAACAAATGAAAATGAGGTGAAAGTCAAGTTCTTATAATACAATTTATTTAAAGTGAATAGAAAATCATTTTCAAGCAGAGCAAAAAAACTTAAGAGAGAATTGACCAATTATCGGGGAAAAAGTGTTTCGTCCCAGGGACTCAACAGCCCTTTTTTTCTTTCCTCCCTGGCAATTTTAGCGAGTAAATTGATATGTTTACTCAGTAAACGCGAACACTGTGATATGTACATGATGTGATTTAATTCAGATAAAAGCTTGGGTGTTTTGATTTTTGATTTGTAACATGATATACAATATGTCAGCAACAAATGCTGAAGTTTTGGATATTCTATTATTCACTCTGCAAATGATTATAGCTGGTATATGAGGTCAGGCATTGCTTTCTTGACCCCCGAATTTCAACGTCAACATTCTTGGAATAGACATTAAAATATTACCATTTACGGAGGTTGAAATAAGTTTATTTACTTAATTTCAAAAGAAATAATAATAATTGTTGATAAAAAAGTGACTGACAACCACTGAACAAAGAAAATACTAAACTAAGCCATTTTTGGGGCCGTCCGGGTTTGGTGGTTGTCCGGATTTGGTGGTCCCCAACCAGTACATGAAAGTATTTAACACATTTTTTTTATTTTATTCATCATTATAATTTATATATACTGGTTGGGGAGATAACTTCGGCTGGTTGATAAACTCGGCTTTTTATAATTAAATCGAGTTATCGGAATTTTTAATCTAATCAAGCTCACCATCTCATACTTTCGCTGGAATTCGACAATATCTGGAAATTTTGTCAAGTTTGGTAAGATATTTAAAAAATAACACAGACTTTTACCTGTTTGTTTATAAAACATGCCTATAAAATTATAAAAAGTACGGGAATCCCATTGTTGTGCGCATGTGCAGCAGATGCTCATTTTGAGGCCCGCACAGGGGTACTTTTATATATTGACCGACTACAGATAAAGCAGACGACGTTTACGTATACATTTTGTAGATGAAATTCAGACTCACTTTTGTCTTGCTAACTCAGAAAAAAGGCTGATTACACAATTGTAATCTAAGTGGAATCACTGGAATGTATTGAAAGACTGATGTTAAATGCTCCTTTTATATGTTAATGTGTAGGTTGAATACCACTAAATTAATTTATTCTTCACTCTGTTAAGCTAAGCTAAGCAAAAATAAATTTGAATCACTAATTCTTTAACTACATATTTGATATTTCGTTATACGTTAATAAATGATAATGCATGTGTTTTTACGTAACATAGTACGTTGCATATAAATATCGTGTTATCATAGATATTCATTGCTCAACAATTTTGGTAACAAATATTTTTTATTTGACATAAATGAACAGCAAAGAAATAATAAAATGTCTTAACATGTTATTTTACGTTTTAACTTACTCATTTAAGAAGAAAAACAGAGAGTTCGAATTATCTACTCGCGCTCGTTAAAAATATCCTTTTTACGTACCTCTTCCAGGACCTCTCAAAATTACCCGTTATGTTTCTAAATATAACTTTTATGGTGATACCGGAAAATCGAAGAGCTGAAGTTTATTATGGTGCAAGATTCATCAGAATACGTAAACAAATAAATGAAATATGCCCCCAAAACACTGATTTTCGGCCGAGTTTATCTCCCAAACCAGTATAAAACTTAAAAATTGTCCTCATAAATCACATCGAAGTTCCAATACCTGAAATGTGGCTGCATAGACTCAGTAGTTGGGAAGTAGTCATCTCATTATCTTCATTCTTTCTCCCGGCTGTCGAATAAGCCATTAAGGGTGCGTATCTGTTATGATGAAGTCTTGTCAAGAAATGTTGAGAATCGAAACAAATTTCATGTTTGTCCTGCCACGGATTTACATCACAAGGATCGGACACTTTCGTTTATTAAAGTCTCGTCGCGCGCATGAGCGGAATCGCACATCGGATAAAGGTGGACAGAATGAGAGATTGCGGAACACGCGGAGTGCGAAATATGACAGATTTTCACAAGAGTATGTGGTGTTATTGCAGCTTTGTGAAAAATTATACACATATGAATGTATTGATACAGTATTATTTTGTGCCGCTAAAGTATTTATATATAAAAATGTGCCGATAGAACGATGCAACGCTTAATTTAAAAAGTACCTAATTTAAAAAATATTCGCCTATTGTTTAGGTATACTCTCTACAATTTGACGCCCTTTTACTTCAAGCACAAATTATTACCGCGATTCAGATTAAGATAATTCTTTTTTACATGGTTTAATGGGTGCATTGCAAAAAAATGTTTCTTGATTGCTTAAAAACTTTTAAAGAAATTCATGTTTGAAATTTGTCTTTATTTCTGTGAATTATTTCCAAATGATTTGTACATTTTTTATTAGATTACCTGTATATTAGTATAAATATAGTAAATATTCTACTAATTAATGTATTTAATATATCTTCAGATCATTCTAGACAAGTGTTCATATATTGATGAATTCATTAGATTGGCAAGGAAGAAACTTTTATTGGCATACAGAACAGCTGTTTTAAATTATTTTTTTTATTTTGAAACAGATTTTTTTCATAATTATCCTTTACAATTCACGTCAAATGATTTATTTGTCATGTTTATTTTCATTATTTTTCAAAGAAAGGGCTATACAAATTTAGTTGTATATTTTCTATATTTTTCATTTATAAATGTTAATAAAGAAAATAGATTTACATTGTATAATTTATATATAACCTCTTCAGAATTATTTTCTTATCACACATACCATGGACTGTAGTTAAAGACCGCGCACATACAAAATATACATTCAAATTCTATCTGTTTTTGAAGATTGAGTGTTACAATTATCACATGTAACCTGGTATTAATGAAAGTTTAAAAATAAAGTTTTTCAATTATCACTTGTTAACTGGTAATTAACCCCTTCAAAAGTAATTAAACTTCAAAGAAATTTAAGCAATGTTTAAAAAAATAATCAAAAGTTACTTTTATTTCGCATAATACTGACTCAAACTATAAAGATTTTTATTGTTTTTCTAGCGTTACATTAAAAAATATCAAAAATATCTTTCTACAGGCATTCAAATAAAAATAATAATTAAAATATACGAGTGACATTAAAAAGGCCGGAATCGAGACAGCCACACAAGAGTACTTTTAAAACTGTTACAATGATTGTCTACTTCACTGCACCGACTTTTGAAAACAGATTTACAAAAAATAATAATGATATAAATGATGAATGAAATTTAAATATTCTATGAATATGGCAATTATAAAATCTCAGCAATATTTTGTACTAAAAAAAATGAATAAATTTTCTTCACGTGTTGAGCGAATTATAAAGCCCGCAATACATTACCAGTAAAACAATTGTGCGTTAATAAATTTGACAACATAACCCTATAAATTTTAAATATTGCATATTTGATCATCTGTGAATAACTTACATTGGCTTCTTTTTTATTTTGAAATCGAATTTATTATGTTACCATAATAATAAATTTCAAATGCCTGCTTTTATATAAAAAAATGTAAATTTACCGCAGATTTCGTCGAGTTAATTTTTTAATCGTCCTTGCCGACAGATTCACTGTACCTTTAAAAAATAAATAAGATATTTGAATTAAACAAGTATTTTTCTTCAAAATAAACTTTAAATTTCCAAAATCGGATAATAAATGGAAAAGCTATATCGTATGGTATTTTGTAAAGTAGGTATCCATTGCAAACGGGCATTTACGCTTAGCGCCGGTAAATTATCGAACGATGTACCTTTATTGGGTGCACGACAAGATATTTAAGCATTTATATAGAGTTAACTGGGAGTGTTCGATCCCTGTAATATAAATCCGTGGTCCTGCTAATCTTGATATGACATGGCAGAACTTTCTGCCTGGATCTTCCGATACAGCCTCTGGTTTTCATTGGAAGACACAACGTTTCAGCACACAACTTAGGATGTAGTCCTCCCTAGATCTGACAGACATCAGCAAATACACCAATGGCAGCGATTTGTTTACATCTAAATCCTGAACACAATAAATTTGCTGTGGACGCAAAGTTTCAAATAATGTGCATCTTTTGGAAGCTTGTTTTTTTCTAAGTTGAGAGTCCTGTTTGCCAAGAATGTGGTAATAAATACCAAGTTGTGTTCAGGCTATGTCAATCTGATGACAGTAAATGTTTTTGATAATATTTTACATTGTTTTTATCGTTAATGGTTACCGTACACATGAAATAGATTCTTGAAAATTTCCACAAGCTGTGGGACAACCAGGACAATACGGACAATTGATATTGTCGCACCTGGGTGGAATATATTCTAGTAATTTGACCTGCTTTATGACAAATTTCCAATATTGTTCCGAAGTTTTTTAAACATTTAAATACGTTCAGATTCAGAGAAATCATTGTAAATTTACTTTTAAACTACCAATAATACCTTAAGTTAGTATAATTATGATCGTGCATTTTTTTCTGGACAACATGACAGTCCACGATGCTTTTGCAGCAAGCATTAAACTCAGAATATTTTAATCTATAAAATCAAATTTAGTTCTTTGAACAGCATTTAATTTTTTTACAGCTGCCTTCTTTTCAATATAAGACATATCCAAACTCAATGTCTCCTTATAAATACATGTAACTTACTAGTGCATTTGTTGATCAATACATTGTGTGACAAGAATTATTTCCATGTTAGTTATGTTCAAAGCTATCTCACCTAGTTCTGCTGGAAATATGACACCACATGCAACCATTCCTGGCATTACCAGGTGTCACTTTCTACCACAAGTTATTAAAATGACAAGCATACTTACTTCTCTGTTTACACAAAAGAGTTTTGATCTTAAAACAATGAAAGTATTACCATGTTTTCACAAGCAGCTGTTTGATATAAGAAATATGGCACCAAGTCAAAATTTTAAATTGCAACAGTGTCTATTCTAGGAGGGGGGGATGGAGGGATTCACTCATATTTTTGAGAATTCCCCCCTATTTTTCAGAGGCAGGGGGAAATTTTTACATAGAGAATGAAGGAAAAAAATCAACAAATGTAATTAATTCTTAGTTTTCGATAAAAATCCCCCCTATTTTTCGAATCCTAGAATCATGAAGCATATGACTGGTGGCAAATTGGTAAATTAAATGTTGATTTAAAAGTTTCTTTTGTAAAGTAAAATGTTAACCAATTGCTTGGTTATCTTGAGAAAATTTGGTTGTTCAAAGGTCAAGGTCACATTAATTTGTGTATTGTTTGGTAGTTCAAAGGTCAAGGTCACTTTAATTTGTGTTTTGTTTAAACAGTATGTAATAGCCTAATAATGACTAGGGGTAAAACTGTAAAGTTGGTAAGTGTGCCACATGCATAGCTTTAAATTTATTCTGACCTTTAACTTTTCAGTTCTTGGCAAGGTTAGGAAGTAGACCGTCATTAACTGGAATACAACCAAAGATATTCGGAGAGGAAGGTCCACAAGCCAAAGATGTCATTGAACTTTATGGAGGAGAGGGAACTGGTAAGACTTTTTGTCTGTATAACTTTTGATGCCCCAAATGGGAGGCATCATATAATCACACTGTCAGTCCGTCTGTCCGCGTCCAACTGCATTCTTGTTCATTCCTGTCCCGACTATTACTTTGTCATACATTGAGGGATTTTGAAATAACTTGGCACAAATGTCTACCAAATCAAGGTGATATGTCGTGTCCAAGAACCACGTCCCTATCTCAAAGGTCAAGGTCACACTACAGATTTTATAGCCGTTATTCGGTCATATTCCCAATTGAAAATAGTATATTTTTTTTCCCAATTTTGATACAAAAATTCCCAATCGAAAACTTAAATTTTTTTTTTTTAAAAATCAATCTTTGGGGAATGTAAAATTGTGCAAATAGCCGGCGTCTAAACAACCCATGTGTTAGTAGACGCTTGATTTCTCAGTATAAGTTTATCGAGCGTCTAACGATATCGACGACCTTTGAAAGTGAAAGTAGATCAAAATGTATCACAATTCAAAATATTATGTTATAAAACTTAAAAAAAGCACTGATAAAGACAGAAAAATTGATTTAATGTTTAACCTTTTCCCTTATATAAGCGTGTTTCGACGGCTTTTTGCCCCCCCCCCCCCCCCTTTTTGAGGTTCAAACAGTGAAAAAATGTCCTATTTAGACCCCAAACACTGTTTTTCGTTTGAGAAATGTTGTTAAAAAAAGTGACCATTTTTTCGGCGCCGTCCCACATCCAAATAATACATCAGGGGGTTGCCAGAAGTGGGATGTGCCAAGAAAATTTTGGACTTGTGAGAGGCTTAAAATGTCCCCAGGTTGATCATAAGGTAACGTGTAACCAACGCTGAAAAGCCTTTGACTCTATCTCAATCCCTTGAGAAGTTGCAGCACTTTGAAATAAAATTTGATGGAAAAAATCGAGGCAAAAAAGTGATTTTTGGCAATTTTGAGATGTCCCCTCGTTGCCATGATAACAGGAAATTTAAGACTGAGCATGTCGTTACAAAGGCAATGGTCAAGTCAACATTTGTGCCAAGTTTGATTAGTATTGAAGCATTTTTCATAGTTTCATAGCAGTTTGAACTTGTAAGAGGAGGCTTTTCAGTGAAAATGGCCATTTTTCACAATATGCTCATGGGGGAAAGGGTTAAGCAAGCGACACTCTTGAAAAAGAGTTGTACTTCAGAAACGGTAACGGCGAATGAAACTGCAAGTACTAGTGAGAAATTGCCTTCAACTGCGACCGGGAGTTACCACAATGATGTTTCTACTCGGGGGTTTTAAAAGTTCTAGCAACGAGTCTAAGTCAGATACAGTTGTCCCTGTCACTGATCAAAGGTTATTTAGTTCCAACAAATACGAGTTGAAGTATGAATTGTTGTATTATAGTGGTGCAAAAGTTGGGTATTGTTGCAAAATGTGCAAGCTTTTTTCAGCTACAGATGAAAACATCTTCATAAATGGTACAGGGCACCATACAGGTGATACAATAACACAGTTCAAAAATATGAAAACCAGAGACCTACTTTAGTGAACTAAATCCTATTAGACAAGGAATATAATATTATTGCCTCAGGAAACTTGAAAATGTTTTGGTTTTTTTCCCAATTTTGGGCAAAATGCCGCTAAAATTCCCAATCTCAAGGGTATGGGTCATGTTCCGAAAATACTGAAAAAAAACTCTGCACTATTATTTTGAATTTTCACATCCCAATTAGAGTAAATAGGTACACACATTTGTGTCCGGACTGTAACTTTGTCATGCATCAAATTATTTTAAAATAATTTGGCATAAATGTCTTCCGCATCAAGACGATGTGTCGCATCTAATAATCATGTCCCTAACTCAAAGGTCAAGGTCACACTACCATTTTTAAGTTTTACTTTATCACAATAAGAATTTAAAGGTACACACATTTTTGTCTGGACTGTAACTTTGTCATGTATGGAAGGTATTTAGAATAACTTGGCATAAATGTCTACAACATCAAGACGATGTGTCGCGTCTAATAATCACGTCCCTACCTCAAACGTCAAGGTCACACTACAATTTTGAAGTTCACTTTATCACAATTAGTTTTTAGATACACACATTCGTGTCCGGGCTGTAACTTTAACATGTATCCAAGGATTTTAAAATAACTAGGAATAAATGTCTACCACATCAAGACGACATGTTGCTACAAAGACCATTGTCCCTACCTTCAAGGTCAAGGTCACACTTATAGTTTGAAGGTACTCATTCTCTCAAGAAGAGTTTGAAGATACACATTCATTACATTCCCAATACATTACAGTTACCAATACGTTACAGTTACTAATACATTACAGTTACTAATAGGTTACAGTTACAAATACATTACAGTTACTTATACGTTACAGTTACAAATACATTACAGTTACTAATAGGTTACAGTTACTAATACATTACAGTTACTAATAGGTTACAGTTACAAATACATTACAGTTCCTAATATGTTACAGTTCCTAATATGTTACAGTTCCTAATATGTTATAGTTACTAATACGTAACAGTTACTAATATGTTACAGTTACTAATACGTTACAGTTACTAATATGTTACAGTTACTAATATGTTACAGTTACTTATTTTCAGTTACTAATTTACAGTTACTAATTTACAGTTACTAATACATTACAGTTACTAATATGTTACAGTTACTAATACATTACAGTTACTAATAGGTTACAGTTACAAATACATTACAGTTACTTATACGTTACAGTTACTAATACATTACAGTTACTAATAGGTTACAGTTACAAATACATTACAGTTATTAATATGTTACATTTACTAATACATACGTTACAGTTATTCTATTGTTCTCATGGTTTTAACAGAAGTTTTCATGTTTTGTTTTGTAGGTAAGACAGAGTTCCTGGTCCATTTGATTTGTAAATGCATTTTACCCGAGCATTGGAACAATATTCCCTTAAATGGACAGTCAGCTGGGGTCATTTTCATTGATACTGACTACAAGTTTTCAATCTTGCGACTAGTGGCTGTGATGGAAAAATATGTTTTGGATCGAGTAAATGTCAATATGAACGATGCAGTGACTAATTCTGACGGAGTTGAATCTTTGATTAGCGAGTGTTTAAAAAAGTTACATGTATTACGCTGTTCAAGTAGCGAACAGTTAGTTGTCACGTTGCACGATCTGGAAAATTTGATTTGTAACCAATCAAGCGTATCTGTTATAATGATTGACAGTATTTCATCGTTTTATTGGATAGATAAATTAAATGGCGGTGAAAGTACTCAGGCTCAAGAATCCGGTATGAAATATGCGACTGAAATTCTTTCTAAATTGGTTAATACATATAATTTAACAGTTATTGCCACAAAAGCGGCAGTATATAAGAAGAAAGGGCAGAGTGAATGTTTTGATGGTGACGAAAAAGCACATTCAAAACAACTGATTAATCAAGATTTGGAATTATCTCATGCAGAGTTTATGTGCAAACCATGGCAACGACTTGTTAGTCATAGACTGATACTTGTAAAAGATTACAAAGATGGGAACCAGGACCAGTTGTTTGTTATTGGCGGAGACTGTGCACAGGGGAACCAGTCATTTGGAATTTGTGAATCTGGAATAAACTTTTTATGATAATAATTGTTGCATTTTCGTAATTTTCGAAGATGCTATTGTCAATATTGTTACACTGCTGACTGTTTTACTTGTTAGGTCTTTAGCTCTGACTATACAAATATTTTGGACATCAGTCCTTAACATCACAGTAATAATCTTTGTCATTCGTAAACAGATTTTAATTTCATTAATGTTTTGTATAGTGAAATATTTTTACTATTATAGTTGTTAATATTTATGAGTGCACTTAAAATGTGGGTAGCAATTTGTGTGTGCTTGAATGTTCTGTCCTTGTGTATGTATACCATCAATACTCGCGGCCTGTATGGCTGGGTAGTTTAGCACCTTGTCGTCAAAACACTTGCTCCTTACTGCAGTGGGTACAAATTACAGCCAGGGACTTTGAATTCTTTCATGTTAGGAAGCTATACAGCTAGCTTACGCAAAATTGATGGTTCTACTCAGGTGTGAGTTTTGCTTGAAATAATACTTTTTTTCTAAAGGTAATTTAGCAATGGTTTATGTATTTTTGAAGCGACATTTCCCCCTCTGTTTATTTAAAAAGGTCAAGGTCACAGTAACACATAATGTATAATCCATGTCTGATTGATAATATGTGGTAGAAACATTGCCCAAGACCAGTAGATAACTCCTATTAATATTTAGGTCAAAGGTCACAGTGACAGTGTAAAATCTTTGTGCAATCAGTAATTTGAAAAGTAGTAAGGCTACGTTTTGATAGAGACATTACCTAGGGCCAGTAGATAACCCATATAAATTTTGAGGTCAATAGGTCATGGTCACAGTAACTTTTGATGTAAAATCCTTGTTAAATGACTAACTTGAGTCTCCGTTTCAGTCATTATATAGGTTGTGAACCTTGTTAGTTAAAATACTATTATCATATATATTATTTACAATTATTATATGATCTAAATATAGCTGCAATCTCGTTGGTCCAGAACTTTTTATAGAATTAAATTCACTGGGTGTAGTGTCATATTCACTGATTTCCAGTCTTAAAATAAATTGAGACTCGTATTCAATGACCATACATCGTAGACTGTTAATTATGCGTGCTTATTAAAAAATAATTGTTGTGTTTTGTTCTTTAAGGTATATTTCTCGATTAAAATATCATTACCTTACTATTATAGTTAAAAGTTACACCGCAATGATAAGTATAAACTTGAATTACTTTAGTAAGCGCAGTTGTTGCATGCCTTACATGTCTTTTTTCCTGCCCTTCAACAAAACAGGCAAAAGTTGTACATGTGTAAGGTTGTAATTTTTGTGATTTTTTTAATTCTTATAGCCTATTCATATAATAAAAAATAATTGACTAGTGTGCCATTGAATATGATGTGATATTCACCCGCAGAAAGTCATATTGACCTCGGATATCGCCTCGGTCAATATGTCATCTGCCAGTGAATATCATATCATATTCAATGGCACACTAGTCAATAATTGTATAATATAACACTTTTCCTTTATGGAATATATAATATATATACATTATGTCATAAGGTCAAGATTATAGTGATAGTGAGGGATTCTTAATGTAAAATTATTGTTTAATATAACTAGAGTTTCATCAGGCAAATGAATTGTGGGAATCTGAACACATTTCCAGTTTTACTTTTGTCTTTGTTACTAAAGATATCTTATAAGAAAAAGTTTTTCCTTGTCATCATTTACATCATATATAACAAGGTATATAACTCTAGCATCTTTACATGTATATCAAGAGTTATTCCCTCTGAACTTAGAATTAGTGCTGAGGCAAGTATCCGAGTACTCAGATAATCACAAATCAAAATGAAAAATTGAGTATGAATATTCGTCAGTCCAGAGATCGTGGATCGCGATCTTATTTATTTATATACATTCACTGTTTCTCACACTTTTAAAAGTCAAACAAAAATACAATATCAGTATGAATTATGCGACGTTTACCTAAATACAATTTGCTGATTAAAGACAGGAAATAAACAAACAAGTACGATGGTGCTGAGCTAGGAAGTCTTTAGTTTCAAAAAAAGAATAACTTTATCTTTATTGAGCAGTATGTTTTTACATGAAAATAAATGAATATTTTCAGTTGCTGAATAAAGATTTATGATAACGTGACATGTATCAAAGACTGTTCTAAAATTTGCAAAACTCATCAGCGTGACATCAAACATCCTGTCTGCAACAATGGCTGAAAAGGAGTTGTGCCGAGAATTGGAAATACTTGGTATTTCAATTGAAAATGAGAAAATTTGCATAATGTTGAATGTTTAGTTTTGTTTAAAGAAAAATAAACATGTTTTCAGAACTAATGTTCATGCTTTTATGGGTCTCTTGATGAAAGATTCTGGGTTGATTTGTGAATCGTAAGTGGATTGTTACTTGTCCAACGATCCACACCCCTACTTGTTCACTGTGAATCACATTTTTAGCTCACCAGTGAGCACAAAATGATCACATGTAATTATATTTTTTGTGCTCTGAACTGGTAAGGCAGGGAAAGTGAGAGGGGGGACAAGAAACAGAAGTTGTGGCCTTGTGGTAAAGGTGTCTGCCTCTCAACCAAGGGATCATGGGTTTGAGCCCTACTCAGGTCACAATCAGGATTCCTCATATGACACCAGTACTGTTTTAAGTTCCAGGAAACAGACTCAAAAATGGTTAAAATAAGTTGCAAAAACTTGTTTCGCAACTGAACTAAAATAAATATATATATGTATAATTAAGCTAAATTTTAAAAAAAAACGACTAGAAATGGAACTATTTTGGCATAAGGAATGTAGGATAAAAAGAGACTATTCTACAATAATATGTTTATTGTACATTTATAACACATTTTCTCTCAACAAGTAACAGATAACAGGCAATTCAACAGTAACAAATATAATATACTACAAAAAAAACATGAAATTTACCAGTTTTCATAATTATAGTACCAGAGTACTGATGAATTCATAATATTGAGCCGCATCATGACAAAACCAACATAATGAGTTTGCGACCAGCATGGATCCAGACCAGCCTGCGCATCCGCGCAGTCTGATCAGGCTCCATGCTGTTCGCTTATAAACCCTACAAGTAGAGAAACTGATAGCGAACAGCATGGATCCTGATCAGACTGCGCGGATGCGCAGGCTGGTGTGGATCACTGCTGGTCGCAAACCCATTATTTTGGTTTTGTCGTGACGCGGCTCATGTGACTCAGTTTTAAAGTTGTGACATGAGGATGTTGCTCTATATGTGAAACAGTTTTCTAACATTGTAATTGTTATTTATAAATATATGTAATAATATAATATATGTTAATATATATTATAATGCGAGACAGTTTGTCATTTAGAAATATACTTATTTTTATGCAAGTGATTTTTTTTTTCTTTCTTTTTTTTTATTCAAAAATACACTTTAATATGTGAAACAGTATTTAAAAAAAATGTATTAAAAAAAAAATTTAATTATAGAAACACACATTAATGTATAAAACAATTTCTTTATTCAGAAATACACTAGTTGTTGTAATAATGTGAAACAATTTTTGTTATTCAAATATACGTGTATATCTGCAACCGTTTTTTTATCATTAAAAAAAAATTTGTAATTTGTAAAACAGTTTGTCAACATTCAGAAATACACATTGATATATGAAACAGTTTCAGGTATAGTCACATTTATATAATTTATTACACGGTTCTCAACATTCAGAATTACATTTTAATGCCCCTTGATAACCTCCAATATTCTGTCACAACATTTCTCATATATAACCATAAAATTAAACCAAAATGTACATTATCATAGAATAAAACTATCTCAACATGTCCAAAGACCATGTACCACAAATTTTGTTATGTTATTATATCATAAAATTTAATAATGTAGTATTGTTATCATTTAATATTGTTTAATTTAAATTATATTCAATTCAAAAAGCATTATTTGTAAAAATATTACCAAATTAAGCATTTCATGTAAATAAAGGGAGGTAATTAGAAATTTAATTTCACTGTTTTAAATAAAATTGTAAATATTTATGTTAATTATTTACTTTAAATGCCAATTCGAAGTATATAAAAAGTTTGGAATGTAGTTCAGATACATGTTCAAATACAAATTATTGTGTAAAAATATATTAATGTTTATCTCTTAAAACATTCTTTTATTTTTAACATACATGTATAAATAAATATATATATAATAAATATATTAAAACTATATCAGCAATCACATGGAACTTTTAACATTTATCACAACTTGCTATATTCGCTATCAATAACCGTATCCCAAAAATATATTTCTACCCTTAGAGCAAAATCAACTACACTGGCCCAAACATGATAAGAATTACTGACATGACATGTATAACTGTATACATCAACATCATCCTTAAATCCTGAACTTGCCAAATTTCTTAAGTAGGACTTGTCCAGCCTTAACTTTAACTGCCTCCGTGGTTGAGGGGTTAGAGTCAATGACTTCTAATCCAGTTACCTCTCTGGCGTAGGTTCGATCCTACGGAGATGCTTTGGTAGTTTAGCGCGGAGGAAGGTAGTCTAGTGCTGGTGTTCCTCTCCAGAAAGGATGGTTAGGAAACTACCGCCTATATGACTGAAATACTGTCGAAAAAAGGCGTTAAATGAAACAAACAAACAAACAAACAGCATCAACTTGAAGAACTGTCCCATTATCGAATTTGGGGTATCAAGAATGATGAAAATATTGAAAGCTACGCCAACAGTATAAGAGCTTGGCTTAACTGACTACATGGATGTGCCGGCTGACCTGGTTAATTGCCATTGGCAAAGTTTACAGTGCCTGGTTTAATAGTGTCCACAAAGTTTAATCACCTTCGGTACTTAGCAGAGTATGGATTAATTAATATATTAAACTTTACTAGTAAAAAATCCAACAATAATTATATAAATATGCATTCAGGAATGGTGCCCACAATCAAAATGTTTTTCTCAATTTTACCATCCCAGTATATATTGGCTGGCATGTAATAACAAACTATTATTTTGTTTTGGCCACAATGACAAAAAAAAATATTATATATATTTATATTTCTCCAGTGGTTCATATTGACCATATAATTTCTCACCAACATTTATCTTATAGAAAAATAATTAGAAGATATACAAACAGAATACTTAAATTATTGCTCATCAGTATACAAAAATACAGAATTTGTAAGAAATTCGAGGACTTAATTCATATGTACATAACTATGGGGTTTTTTTTTGCAGTCAAATTTAAAAATAGACAAGTATGTATTATTGTAAAGGGCCATAATATTTATCATTTATAAAAAAGTTTTATTATACATATAAAACATAGTGATTTATAAATTACATATAATATGAAAATATTTGATAATATATTACATACATGATATTTTATATGTGTAATATTGTAGTTATAAAATATGGATTTATTACACTGAAAGACAGTTTAACAACAGTAATTATTA